TGCCTTCTGCCATTTAGATTCTAAGGTTTTCCAGAATGCTTATATTCTGGGGTAGATCCTTTTATACTCACAATATGTAAGAAGATTTTTAAAAAGTGGTTTGCATGGATGGATGACTTTTCCTGGGAAAAGCAAACTTCCTATTCTCTTAAAAAACAAACAAAACAGTAAAAGAAGGCCCTGAGGAGTGTTTGGTTCTACAGTTTAGGAATTAAGTTTGAAAACACTGCACTCCCCCACCCCCATTCCCCATCCCTTGCCACCTCCCCCCCAACACACACACTTGCTGTAGTTTCTTAGGGACCACAACCCTCTAATGGTTACTTCTTTATCTTAATTTGCTGTTGTTTACACCTTCTTCTTTCTCTGAATTCACTGAAGTGAATTCTTCAACACTGCAAGTTATTTTTCAGATGTTTGAGATAATTCTTTTGACATTTCTAATCCCATCACCCTTTCTTTAAACAAATGATGAGGGATGCTTTTGTGTGTGTGTGTGTGTGTGTGTGTGTGAATGAGATGAGGGGAGTAATGAATGGAGCATCCAGTTATAAGCCAAATGGTGACTAAATAACTTTACAGATTTTTATATAGACACATATGAAAACTCAGCATTAAGCCTTGGTCATTACATGAGTTGCCCTTAGCCAAACTATCTTAAAGTGTGGATAAGTATAAGAGAAAAGATATGTTCAGATAGAAGGCAACTGCAGTTTGAGATTTCTTTGAAAAGTTGATAACTAACCTGAAAATTAAGGGCGAATTCTCCCTCTACTTCCTAGTATATGGGGATTTTGCAACCTTTCTTTCTCCAAGTCCCAGCTTAGGCAATGGGCCCTGTCTGATCAGAAGGATTCCGAATTTATGTGTGGGGGGCGGGGAGGGGGAGGAGGGGAGCGCTGCGGCTGGCCAGGGCTGGATGAAAAGAGAGGGGAGGAGCGGGGGTGACAGGAAAACCCAGTGGGAAATTCCTCGCACTGTTTTTTAATTTCTCCTCTGCAGAATTCTCTCCAGGCCTCCTAGCACTTTGGGACCCGGGTAAAGATGCTCCGTGCCTGACTGCTTCACTGGGTTCCGGAGGGAGGTCTCAGAGCCTCAAAGCACACACCTTTTCCTTTTAAGCTGCTCTTCGCCAACCCCCAATCTACTTACCTTGTTTGAACACAGGATACAAACTAGGCTGTCTCCTCAAGTCCTGGCCACTTTAATCGGCTACTCGTCCGATTTATCCTAAAGCTAATGGATTGCCCTCTTCAATGTAGTGGTGGTGTGGCTGGGGCTGAAGGAGTAGGACTGTCTATACCACTCAAAAGGTCTTTCTTCCCTTAGGAGCAGAGAGAGTTGAATGTCGAAAAAGAACCCCGAGATCCCCCAGCGAAAATGTGTGGCGGAATCCTGCAGAAGGACTCCACTTTCAGGCCGTTGAAGACCTCCAGTCATTAGCATCAGCTGCTGCACTAAAGGAGCAAGCCAGCGCCTCTAAGTGGCTTAGCGCACAAACAAGGCTCCCGAGACGGCCTCGGCCTCTCCATCCACTCTTCCACCACCTGCTGGACGTGAAAAGCTCTCCGGAGCCCATCTCGGTAATAATTTTTACTTTTGACTCACCTTCCCCACCCTCGGGTGTCTTAGAATACCGGCCTCACCCGGCAGGGGACCCGCGTGGAGACTAGGCGGAACGCGCCAGGCTGAGGGCGGAAGCGCAGGAAGAGATTGTGTCCCACAACCTGGGTTTTTTCTTTCCCACCCATCTCCTCCTCACCCCTTCTCCCGCCCGGTACTTGTGTACTGGGGCAAAAGACCCCTGTAAATTCCCTTCGGAGGTCTGGCGGCGTCTCTACTCCATCTCCCTTACCCATCTCCGTGTTCAAGGAAGGACCGAGCCAAGTTCTCACCAAAGCGCATCCTTTTTGAGTCTTGCTCCTAAGGGCTTGGTAGTGTGAGCGCTCCTGGAGAGCGCTGGCGAGCGTTTGTCACCACAACCCCCCCAGGCAACTAGCCGCGCGTATCAGCTGCGGCTGGAGGGGCTAATCCACAACCCCCCTTTCCCCTCCAGAGAACTCAGACTCGGGGGAAATGCGCGCGGGGTCCTTGCGCGCGCTGAGTGGACAGCCGTCTGCCAAGGGTTCTCCAGGTGCCAAGAGGAACTGGGAAAGGCCCTCTCCAGGTCTTTTTGGTACTTCCCTTTCCGACCCCCAAGCTGATCCCCGCCCCCAACCAGTCCCAGAGAGCCCAGGCTTTCGGAGGTGTGAGCCGGGCCGAGCTCCGAGAGGCGTTGCCACAGGGAGAAAGCGCTCAGGGGCTGCGCGGGGCGCGGGCAGGCCGGCGAGACGGCTTCCAGGCAGGCGGCGCCGCCGGAGGGAGCGCCCAGCCCAGCAAAGAGTTAAAGGGAGGGGACGTGGGCTGTCACGCGTCATTGGGCAGATTATGTGCAGCAAACAAAAAGTGTGTGTCTGCGTGCCAGTCAGTCACTGCATCGGGCCCATCTGTACAACTCTCTCTTCTCTCTCCTCTCCCTACTCTCCCTGGTTCCTCTCTCCACGTCTCTCCATCTCTCCTCCCTTTAGGCAGACCCTACTTGACAGCAACACCAACACCTCTCGACATGGAAATACACTGATACGATAGGCAAAAGAAACACTCGTCTGCACCTCCCGGTTCCAGGTGGCCTCATTGGGGCGATTTGATCCTGACCTTATTCCTGGTAAGTCTCTTTGCCTCGATGGGGGTGGGGTGGGCGGGGGGAGGACGACAGGTTTGGTAGGGAGAGCGGAGAATTCTGTTCTCCGTCTTCTCATTATCCAGAAGAGGGGGAGGAAATAATTGTGGAGGGGCGCGCTGCTGCCAACGGGGTTATACAAAGGGAGGGGCGGGTGGAAAGCACTTTGCCCAAGAAGAAGCCAGCGACTGGGGCGCGCGGCCGCCAGACAATGCCTGCCTACGGGGGAGGGCGAGCGGCCGGCGGCAGCGACGGCTTTTGGCAAGCCGGGCCGGCTCCGGGAGGATGCTCTGGGCGGCTGGGAACCCGGGCCTAGCGGAGGATTCAGAGCTGCGAAAGGTTGGGCGGCGAAGGCGACCGCGCGCGGGCGGCAGAGCCCAGGCTCTCGCCCAGCGCTTATTGTGAGCGGCGCGAGGCTCGTGGCGGCCGCCGCGGCGACGCGAACCCCTATTAGCGCGGCGTAGCGAGGAGCTTTTCACCGTATTGTTAGGTAGGACTGCATTTTAATGACTGCGTCCCTGCTGTTGCCCGAAGTGACGGGGCGACCTCTCGGCACAATGAGCCGTTTGTGTGAAAGAGACTTCTAAAAGGAAGAGAAAAATTGGGGCATAAAACGCTGAATTGAGGAAATTGAAAAGGAGAGAATAGAATTCCGTTGAAAAGGAGGTTCTGAGAGATGCTGAGAGATTTTTTTTTAATGAATTTAAATGTGCAGTTGGAGATCAGAAAGGCTACCTTGGGTGGGGTAAAATGCCCAGAGGTAAATGCTGTAGAATAATAAAGGGAGTTTCTACTTTATGGATATTTTCTCTGATTCCTGTCTGGCAGATACAGCCCATACTTGCTATTTGGAGGAGATAGCAGAATGAATGGAAAAGAGGCTGGCCAAAGTTTCCTGCTCTGTTAGCTGTAAAAGGGAGGGGGAAAGCACTACCTTCTAATGACATTTGCAAGATTAATTGATTAATAGACATTAAGATAAAAATGGACATTACCAATATTGTTCCAGAAAGAACAGATTCTTAGGAAAAGAATTGGGTTTCCCTTTCCTGCTACTTACTGTACAAAATGTACTTAAATATCTGCCTATGGCAATGTTATTGGGGAAAAATCAACTTGGAGGAATCTTCTAATCAGGCAGCAAAAGTGAACAATGCAGTTAGTTCAAAGCTGCCTTAAAATTTCAATATGTTTTGTTTGTTTTTTGATGATAAGTCTTGTAGTGGGGGGGGGGGGTTGTCCAGTGGCAAAGGAAGGAAAATGTGTCTTTATGACAGCTTAATAATAAGAGAGCCCACCGCCGGGGCATTACTTTCTGAATTGCTGCAGATTAAACAGCTGGAGAGCCTACTGAGGTCTACTCAAGCGGGGCTGCCCCCTCTTGCCCAGACAAGGCCCGATCTGGGGGAGCGAACATTCACCAGTCATTACACACGCAGTATTTCAGACAGGGGACACTTCAGTCCTGCTCTGTACCTGCTCACTTCATGAGGCACATGCGACTCTACCCACCGCCTTGTATAACAAGGTAACTGGGATTCACCCTCATCCATAAATAAGCATGTCGAGAAGAAAATAATTACCTCTGCTTGCTGCTTTTAATTAAAGCCTCGGAGGGACAGTGTTGGATTATGGTAATGAGCAGACACACGTCCCCTCTTGTCGGCTGCAGAGAAAGGTTAGCTGACACGGAATCAGTGGCCCTGACACCCCACTTGAAATCCATTCGCCATGCTCCGCCGTCTCTGCCTGCTCACTAGTGCTGCTCCCCTCTTTGGAAGAAAAATAAAATAAGATAAAACCAGCTCCCAGACACCCAACTCAATACACAAGAGTAAAAGAGAGAAGCTTTTCCCCAAAGGTTAGAAGTTTCTTTCAGTCTAGAAAGTCTATAAGCTAGCAAAAAAAAAAATCCTTTTGTTCTCCACTTTTCTCCCCCTCCCCCCCATCCTGTCTCATCCTCCCCCAAGGTAAGTCAAAAAACATCTCCTCTTTCCTAGCGCCGTTTGTCTTTCTTTCTAGCAGTCAGTCCACTCTGAGCTCCCCCATCACAATTCTCTTTACATTTTTAAAGGAAAAGAAAGTACTCTTCTTTGGCATCTTTGTCATATGCCACATTTAATCTGCCATCGGCTTTATTTCTGAAATAAGATCGATGCAAAAACCAAGCAAATTCAAGAAAAATCTGTCTAGTAGTTAGAACATTCTGCCTGGGTTCAGAGAGGCAAAAGGAGGAAGGTAAATTCGCTTCAATTGTCCTATGTATCTGTCTCCAGTGGTGATGGAGGATTCGGGCATCCAGCGAGGCATCTGGGAGGGAGATGCCAAGGCTGTCCAGCAGTGTCTGACAGATATTTTTACCAGCGTTTACACCACCTGCGACATCCCTGAGAATGCTATATTCGGTCCCTGCGTCCTGAGCCACACTTCCTTGTACGACAGCATAGCTTTCATAGCTCTCAAGTCCACAGACAAGAGAACGGTCCCTTACATCTTCCGGGTAAGTCTTGGTTGATGTTCTGTAGGGTATGAGGGTAATATCCTCTTAAAAACAGACTAAGAATCATTCTAATAACAAGCTGAGATAGGTTCTACATGTAGAAAATGCAGTGATACATGCAATTCTATTTTACACACCAGAAATTAGAAAAGGAAAATTAAACTCCAGAGTATTGTCAGCTGATTTTGGGAAATAAGTGACAAAATTAGATTTTGAATGCCAGGTATGTCTAAATCAATGCCTGGATTCTGGGCTTTCCTGGAGATGAACACCACTTCCTTAACTCTGTGGGAAATTTCACTAGGATTGAGGCTATTTGTAGGCTAAGTACTTCCTATAAGTACTTTTTTGTAAATATTAGGTGCATTCGCCTTCCAATCCCAGAGGCCTCCTGTCCCCTGGAATATTACTCTTTCTGGTTAAGCTAGCTAGTGTCTAGAGTTTGTATTTAAATAAAAGTGTTGGTGTTTTGACAATAAAACATCATTCCAGCCATATGTTTGAGTGTGAAAAGTCCTGTCACTTCCTATTCCTTCTTTACAAAGAACCATTAGTTGTTTAAGTCAAAATAAAGAAGATGAGCAAAAGTCACAAAATAATTTTTAAAATCTAAGTGTGCTTTTCACTTCTAAAACAGACAAAATTCCACATACTTTTGCAATGTGGGATAATTTAGAAATCAGTTCTCAAGAGCTTAGCACTAATTTGAATTGTAAAAAAATGCTAATTTGGTATTCATCCAATATGTAAAAAGACAGGACTCTCCTGGTGGTCCAGTGGTTAAGGCTCCCCCCTTCCAAAACAGGGGCACAGGTTTGATCCCTGGTCTGGCAACTAAGACCCCACTGCCCCTTTGGCTAAAACACACACACACAAGCCTGCGACTTAAATAATCTGTATAATTAATGCAGCTTGCCAGGTATGTTATTTTGCCTGCTGGCTGCAAACATGAGGATGGGTGTTAAGTTGGGTCAGGTTTTTGGAAACTTGATTTCAGATTCTTAGAGAAATAATAACAGCGGAAATGGCCCTGGCTCCTTTGGCTTCATTCCCTCACAAGAGTCTCCCTCCCTCATCCCCTTCCTTCTTGCATTCTTTCTCTTCTCTAAACTGTAGGTAGACACCTCAGCGGCGAATGGTTCCTCGGAAGGTCTCATGTGGCTGCGTCTGGTGCAATCAGCCAGAGATAAAGAAGAGCAGAACCTTGAAGCCTATATAAAAAACGGACAGCTGTTTTACCGCTCTCTCCGCAGGATTGCCAAAGATGAGGAGTTACTAGTTTGGTACGGGAAAGAACTGACCGAGTTACTCTTGCTCTGCCCCTCTAGATCCCACAGCAAAATGAATGGTAGGTTGGCTCAATCAAGACCTGTGTCCCGGCCCTTAGCTAGCGGAGGGGCGGAGGGTGGGGGCCGGCGGGGTCACTCTGGCGCCTGGGCGCGCCTTCCCTCCCTTGGGGTACCTTGTAGAGAGCTCCTGAGATATAATCTGGGGCGAAGCTGGGATAGCTAAGTGAGGATGAATCGGGACATGCTTGGCTTAATTCCTGCACTCTCCTCAAATCTGGAGGGAAAGTTAGACCGGGTCTTGTCCGTTGTTCTTGTTTTCAGGCACTCAGACCCTGAGAGGTGAAAGTGGATTTGTGGAGGGGGTGATGGCAAACTGGCCTACAGATGATGCTGAGTAATTGTGTGTGTGTGTGTGTGTGTGTGTGCTGTTTGCTCACTAAGCAGGGTCGTCCCCTTACACATGCCTGGAGTGCAGCCAACGTTTCCAGTTTGAGTTCCCCTATGTAGCGCATCTGCGCTTCCGCTGCCCCAAGAGACTTCACGGCGCTGATCTGAGCCCCCGAGAGGAGCAAGGCGGCGGCGTGGGCACCAAGGATCACGGGGGCGGCGGCGGTGGCAAGGACCAGCAGCAGTCGCAGGAGGCACCCTTGGGTCCCGGCCCCAAGTTCTGCAAAGCCGGCCCGGTCCACCACTACCCAGCGCCCTCCCCCGAGAGCGGTAACCCGCCGGCGGCTGGTGGCGGCAGCGGCGCGAAGCCGTCCACGGACTTTCACAACCTGGCGCGGGAGCTGGAGAACTCCGGGGGCGCCAGCAGCTGCTCCCCGGTGCGGAGCCTCGGCGGCGGCAGCAGCCACCAGGAGGCGGAGCTGAGTCCCGACGGCAACGCCGCAGGCGTGGGCAAAGGGAAGAGGAAGTTCCCGGAGGAGGCGGCCGAGGGCGGCGGTGCGGGGCTGGTGGGGGGCCGGGGCCGTTTCGCCGAGCGGGCCCTGCCCGCCTCCAAGGAGGACCTGGTGTGCACGCCGCAGCAGTACCGCAACTCGGGCAGCTACTTCAGCCTGGAGGAGAACGGCCGCCTCTTCGCGCCGCCCAGCCCCGAGACGGGAGAGGCGAAGCGCAGCGCCTTCGTGGAGGTGAAGAAGGCGGCCCGGGCGGCCGGGGGGCCGGAGGAGGCGGCCGCCGATGGCGGGGGCGCGGTCGCCGAGGAGCAAGACGCGGGCGGCGGCGGCGGCTCCTCCTCCACGCCCGTGGCCGCGTCCCCGGCCGGCACCGAGAAGCTGCTGGCCCCGCGGCCCGGGGGCGCGCTGCCCGGCCGGCTGGAGGGCGGCAGCCCGGCGCGGGGCAGCGCCTTCACCTCGGTGCCGCAGCTGGGCGGCGCGGGCGGCGGCGGCGCGGGGGGCGGTGCGGGCGCTGGGGGCAGTTCGGGTGGGGCGGGCGGCGGCCAGGGCGCAGCGGCGGACGAGCGCAAGAGCGCCTTCTCGCAGCCGGCGCGCTCCTTCTCGCAGCTGTCCCCGCTGGTGCTGGGCCAGAAGCTGGGCGCTCTCGAGCCGTGCCACCCCGGCGACGGGGTGGGCCCCACCAGACTGTACCCCGCCGCCTCCGACCCGCTGGCCGTGAAGCTCCAGGGAGCGGCGGAGCTGAACGGAGGTTGCGGGGCCCTGCCGAACGGCGGCGGCGCGGGCGGGCTGCCCAAGCAGAGCCCGTTCCTCTATGCCACCGCCTTCTGGCCCAAGAGCTCCGCCGCCGCGGCGGCCGCAGCAGCGGCGGCCGCGGGGCCCCTGCAGTTGCAGCTGCCGTCGGCGCTCACGCTGCTGCCGCCCTCGTTCACCTCGCTGTGTCTGCCCGCGCAGAACTGGTGCGCCAAGTGCAATGCCTCCTTCCGCATGACCTCTGACCTAGTGTACCACATGAGGTCGCATCACAAAAAGGAGTACGCCATGGAGCCCTTGGTGAAGCGACGGCGGGAGGAGAAACTCAAGTGCCCCATTTGCAACGAGTCCTTCAGGGAGCGCCACCACCTCTCCAGGCACATGACCTCGCATAATTGACACAGAAAGGACCCCCGCCTTCCGCGCGCGCGCACGCACAGTCGAACCACCTGCAGGAACAAACACGCGAGGACATCCACCACCTCCTTGTGACCGGAAACATCACACCCAGAGACACTCGCACACACACAGGCACACACACGTGGTCTCCCCCAACCTTTACATCCAGATGTTTACCTGTGACCTACACACACACACACACACACACACACACACACACACGAGACGGATGGTGGATTTTTGATCGGGTGGGTTGTTTGAAGGGTTTTCTTTTGAATGCACGCATTTTCACTTTCCCAAAAACAAAGGTACATTTTTAAAAATGTCATATATTGCAACATATTGATGCATTTGTCATACGTTTCTACTTAAATTATTAAGCACATACGGTTTAGATGTAATAATTATATGTAAGGGCAAAATTTATTTTAGATATAAAGTAAAGGAGGAGGGTGAGATGCTTCCTGCATTTCTTGATCACAGTTTGTGTTCTTACAAAAATAAGCAAAACAAATAAAAAGGAGGTAACCATTCAGTTTAAGTTTCCAGGGGGAAGTGCATGTATCATGAAATGATTATGGACTTCAATGAAGAATGTCATCATTATGTAAATATGTATTTCCTTTTAATACAAAGTGTAATTTTGTGCCAGTGAAATGGAGTCTGAATAGTTATGTGTTTCTTTTATCCCTGGAAAGATTTATTAAACTTTATAGATTATCCGGGTATGTTGGATGCTTTGACAATAAATGACTATTTTCCTCAAAGCAATTATTGGGAAAGTGTTTTAAAATGTTTTTTGTAGCTAAAGGCTACACTATTGAGTGCGTCCTCAGACGCTTAGTATTGTCTGACTCTTTGCAACCCTATGGTTCTTCTGTCCATGGGATTACACTTTGAGTAGATACCATATATTTTCATTGAGCCCCTGAAAAGAAGAAACTACAAAACAGAGAAATGATAAACCCTGCCCCACTTGTATTATTTACTCTAAGCCAATTTTGAACCTAAAAGTGAGAAGACGAGGTGATTATTACTTGGGAAATCTTTATCTGGAAAGGGTTGCACTTCTTGATCAAAGCACAAGTAATTTAAACTAAGATGCCTGCCATGAAGCTAACCAGTGTCTGGGATGTCAACATTCTTTTCAGCAGCAGGATAAGTAGCATCTTCACAAGTGGCCAAAGACAAATGATTTTCAGACCTGGATCAGGGACAATGGGTGAAAAGACCACTTTTGGTTCTTAACTAGCGATGCTTGCATGGAAGGGTATCTTGTGTTCTAGAACCCTTTGGCTTTCTGTCATTAGTCATTAAGAGATCCTCGGGAGAGTTTCTCCAGAAACTAAGGTGAAATGACCATGGTAGTCTATGTATTGCAGGGCCCTCTAAAGTTCTGAACAGCTGCATGGCCTCTGGAAAAAACTAGCCCTGAAGCATTACAATACAGACCTAATAAATTTCTTCTCCCTGCCCTTCCTCTTATGAAAAGTCCCTCTGTACTCTTCATATACTGATGATAGTTCTTCAATAGTGTACTTAATGTAAGTGTGTGTGGTATGTAGAAAGCAGTAGATCAAAACCAAAAGGTCCTTTAGGTCTCAGGGTAGCATGCACTTAATCCATGGGCATCTTCAGAGAAGTCATTCTACAGGTGCTCTGGTAACCAATACTACACTGGTTTATGCATCAAAGGAGGTGTTCCTTCCCATTTTTAATTCTTGCACATCTTGCCAACCCTCCCCTATGTCAGAAGGAGAGTATTTGTGAAAAGTTCTGAAATGTGAGACTTGTATAAGATCTTATTGCAGGCCTTCAGTGGCCTTCCCTAAAAGGGTTTTAAAGACTTCATGATCTTAAGGGGACTATATAACAAGTTATAATTAGATAAACAGAGACCAAGGGTAGGGCAGAGATGGATCCATAGTGTGACCACTGAGATTGGTGAAAAAACAGGTTGACTTCTTAAGATTACCCAAGTACTTTTTGTGCTACCTTTCTTTGAGACCTGCTCTCAGTTTTCCTAAGCAACAGTCTGATGATCTGAAACACTAATCCCCAGCAAGATGTGATGAGAAGAACAGTCCAAAATTCCTGTTCTGTTTCTGCTCTGCATGATTAGTATAACTTGCATCATTATTGTTGGTATCATTAATTTACTTGCATTTTGCTTTTCTTATCTGTGCAATGACTGAGACAGGTTCTGCTATCTATAAAGTACTTCTAGCACTGGGGAGTTGTTTTTTTCTAATGGGCTAATCAGGTTCCAATTAAATCTAAAGAAGACTTTCTAGAGAAAAAAGCAAGATTGGTTTGGAGCAAATTTGATGGCAAGAAATCAGAAAGATATTTGGGAACAAATAGAATGTGGGCCTCCAAGATCCTTAAATCATAATGCTTAAGAGGCTGACCAAACTATCCATGCCTAGAACACTAGTGGATCCCTAGAGCAAAAGTTTCTTAAAAACCAGCCAACCAACCACCAAGTCAACCAATCAAGTTTGCCTGGGGCCTAACTTGAAAAACAAAAACCCGATAACAAACAAAAAACCTTGAATGCTCCTTCTTGTCTATCCCATCCTTCCAGAATCTTCCTTTCACTATGGTGGCTAGATTACCTGTTGGGTAGTCAAAGAAGAACTTAAGTCTAAAGAAACAGTAAGCAAATACTGCTTCTTGAAAAGGACTTCTTCAGAGTCTAGAATCTTGTTGTTTTTTAAGGATACTGTAGACACTTTTGAGCTTCTCCTGTGTTTTCATTTGTATGGTAATCAATGTAAACACTCAATCAGGAAGAAAACTGAACCTTGGCTGAGCTAATGCCCAGGAGATCAGATAGCTGAGTGAGTGGCAGACGCTTTAGGGCTGTGCAGTTTTACTGACCAATCTACCTAGGAGACTTTTTTTGGGCTGGAAGCAGTAGGGGAAGGGTGCCCAGAGCTAGTTTTGCCTTCAGCCAAGGCAAACTGAGAAATGTTTTATTTTAATGTTGCATTTTCAAGCGTTTGGATGTATCAACTTTCTCGGATGAGAGTTTCTAAAATTCCATAATCCCACCCATCTGCCAAACTAGCTGAGGTTGCTGGCTGAAGCCATAGGCGTAAATGTCTACACACAGCTGCGGGGGAAACAAGGTCATAGGGTCATGCAGGCTTGGAGTAGGCTGGTGCCGTGAAGTCCAGGCAGGTGGCCTGCGCTCCGAGTGCCCGCCAGGTCCTCCGGACTGGGGAAAAGGCAACTCAAGCGGCTGCCGCACTAGCATTTGCTGTGTCCCCAGTCAAGGGCAGATTGCTTGGAACTGACCCGACTCTGGAATCTCCGAGCGCGCTCTCTGCGTGGATCGCGAACCCCTCTAGTCTTCTAGCTTTTGCGAGTAGGAGGGGAACGCGTCTATTTCCCAAGATGAGTTTCCAGGGTGTAGCCGAAGATCACCGGCGTGCGGGAACCGGAGGGCTGGGGAAAGAATGCACCAGTTCTCAGGCACTGGGGAGCCGAGACTGAAACCGGACCTACCGGGGATAGTTCCCAGGGTCCTGGGCCCACTTCTACGCTCTGCGGCTCTCTGAGGCCCAGGGTACCAGTGTAGCCGTCACACCGGCGCGCCAGCCAACATAGACGTGTCTCCGCCCCCGGGCGCGGCGGGGGGATGGAGGGAGTGGGTCCAACAGGGTTGCGCGTTTCCCCCACACACACCCGTCTGAACCGCTGTGTAGCACCCGCTTCCCATCTTCTAGTAAGTTCACCCTCCCTGCAGCTTGTCTCTTAGTGAGAATCACCCCAGCGCCGAAACCTGGAACACCCAGGACCACCCGTACCCAGAAAACGACCGCGAAGTGCAACCTCTCCTCCCGGATTCCGAGGGCCCCAAAAGCGGCCTCGCCTCGTGAGTCAGGGGTTTCTCCTCTCTTTCTCCACGCACTATCGGCCCAGACTCCCCCCCACCAAGGACGGTGCAGCCGGCTCGAGTCCACGATCGGAGTGCCGGACTAGGTGCGCTTGGCAAGGCACACGCGTCCGAGTCCGAAGCCTTCAGCGCTCGGCAGTGCGGAGACAGGGCACATAAGGGGACCACCAAGGACCCAGCGAGGGACAGCAGGCAAGCGCAACGACCAAGGATCCGCCCTGAGCTTTTAGACTTTCCTTCCTCCCCACGCCCCTCGCCCTCTCCCAATCCCGTGTGCTGGAATTAGTTTCGCTCATTCTTTGCTATCTCCCGTTTTCCCTTCCCTCCACCCCTCCATCACTTTCAGGCTGTATTCCGTCTCTTAAGTACTTCTGGAGATTTGAGATCATTCTTAGAGTTTTATTAGGAAACCTCCCCCCGCCTGATGATTCTCAACCATTCAGGCAACCGACTCCTGAGGCGGTTGCCCCATCCCGAGGGGAGACTGCTCTGCCGATTGGATTGATTGAGACTTAAAGACTACTGCACACCCTACCTTGGGGTTTGGGGAGTCAAAGAGATGAGCAAATGCCAGTCCCGCCCCACCCCCCCCAAACAGACACTCCCTCCGCCCCCATATAGGAGCACACAGCCACGTGTGTCACCTCCTGAAAAATTCCTCCTAGGAGAGGAAGCTGTCGTCTGATGTTCTTCTGTCCTTAAACTGATGTGCTTGTGTCCTTGTTTGGAAATGCTGTCTTTCCTTGAAGGTGTGAAAGTACCTCCAAGGGATGTTGAAAATTAAGCCTGCCCAGAAGCTGAACTGGGAATAGAGTGAGAAGCTGGGCTACTTCCTTCTAAATGTGTTTTGGCTGACAGGTGGGCCAGGAGCCTAGAATGTTGAGCCAGAAACATCCCTGTTAGGCCAGTGGGCCTGAATGCCTGCTGAGTGTGACTGGGCTGGGTGGGCAGAAGGGGTGTTCTCAGCCTCTTGGCTTCACAGACCTATTCCTAAGGCAAATTTTGCTTTTTTAAAAAACATTAAATTGGACTTAAAACTTTTTAGAAACATAGCTATTCTCCAGGGCAAGAGGATGAAGAAACTAAAGAGAAAGTT